TTTGTTATGTTGGCCTTTTTTTCCCACTCTTGCACTTTTTCATATTGAACTCTCCATATCTGGTCATAGAAAGTATTCCATACTGTTTTTGTTACTATGTTTATACATTTTTCTGCTGCTTGCCTGTTTAACAGTTGGTCAAGTTTTTTTCCTACTTCTGTCATGATTAGTCCTTTTATTAGCACTTTTCTGTTTGTAACTTCTTCCTCTTCTGTTTCTCTGAATAGTGTTTTGTATAATACTTGTGGTGAAATTCTGGTTTTCTCTTTTTCTTTGAGTCTGTTCCATGCAGTTGCTATTAATCCTTTTTGTATTCATTTTTACAAACTTCTTTGTTTGCTACAACTTGCTATGTGTACTTGGGTTTCATTTTCACCACTTTGACAAACTTGGCATTCTGTTGTTATATATACTTCTGGTCTTCTTTTGTTTAACTTTACTAATGTTAATAGATTATTAATTATATACTTGATCACTGTGGCTCTTCTTGTACTTAGTTTTCTCAAAGTATAGTGTACTTCTTTTGTTCTACATATTTCTTTTTAAAAACTTGACCAGTTGTAAAATGTGTGTTCTGTTTCTGGTTCCAATATTCTGATTGACTTTGTTTCTCTTTAACTAGCTCCTATTTTGGCATTTGTGATTATTTTGCAAAGAAGTCTTGCAGGTATATCGATTTTTTTATTTTCTCATACTAGTTGATACTCTATTCCATCACATTTCATACTCTATACATGGATCATTTCTTTGCACTTTGCTCTTTTTTTCATGATAAGATCTGCTCTGTTATTTCATCTGTCTTACTGTGACTTTTGACCTTAATTAATTCTAATTTAATGTTTTTGCTTTTAACTAGTTCTGTGATGTTCATTATCTACATTGTATTTTTTTTTTTAAGGATCTTCTTTTCTCTTGCACTCTGCAGTGCTCTACTAATGTTTCTTAGTGCAATGTTGCTATCTGTATAGATTTCGATATCTTTTTCTTTTGGCATTATTAAAATTGCTACTCATATTGCTACTAGTTCAGCTATTGTTGCTGAAGGCCATCCCTCTAGGTCTAATGCCATTTCTTTTTCTGGCCAGTTATCTTTCTCTTCTACTTGTACTCATCTGATACCTATTTTCTCTATGCTATTTCTTTTACCTTTTTATATAGTGCTCTATCTGTGTAGAATACATATCTCTCTTTGTTTCTTTCTTTGTTTTTTGCTAAAATTTCTATCAGTCAATCTGTGAGCATGTTGTCTAACCCTTGTTTTTTTACTATTTCTATTTCTAATTCTTCTACTTGTTTAAGTTCTACTAATTCTCTTTCCTCTTTTCTCTATTCTTCTGTTGTTTTGTTTTCTTTTAATTGGTCTATTATTGTATTGATCTTGTTGTTACTCTTTTTTATTATTGATTCTGGAATGGCCTTTATACTATGATCTCATCATATTTATCAATTGCATCTATCTGTTATTTGTACTTGAGTGTTCTCACAACCTTTGCATCTGCTTATTTCTGTAAACATTTTTTCTTCTTCTTTATGCATTAACTAGTGTTTAATTAAACTCTTTTTACACTTCTTCTTAGCTATTTTGCCTAATTGTTAGTTGTTACTTGTCTCATATATAATCTATTCTTTCTTTCTTTTGTCTTCTGTCATCTTTATCCATCTAATCTTTAGTGCTTGTGCATTATAATTATTTATTTTGTACTGATTATTCACTTTTCTGTTTGCTTATATTCTCAATATTTTCCTCTCTATTTTACTGAACTATTTTAATTTTTTTTTTCTTGCATGACCAGCCTTGAAGGCTTTTAAGCTGTCTTTATATGATCAGGTTTTCATCTTTTATGTCTATAAGCTAATTCAGATATAGCAGTTCTTACTTATTTATTTTGCTATTGCTCATATTCTATGTTTTTGCTTCTATTACATCTCTTATTTTATTTCTATGTCCATATACTTTCCATAAGTATTTTTCTGCTCTAATGCTTATACATATTTTTTTTGCTTTGGCTATTGTTTAGCAAGCTAAATTGTTCTTTCAGTATTTTTTCTTCTTTGGCCTTCTTTCTAAGTTCTATATATCTTCTGTTAAACCTGCGATTTAGCAACTTTTGGTTATTCTGAGCTTGTTAGTTTATCTAAGCTATCTTTTTTGTTGAGTCTTAAAAAGATACTACTTATTTGCTTTGTTGTTATTTCTAGTTTCAGTAACTTGCAATTGCCAAGATCTTTGTATTCTATTATACAATTGTTTGATATATACATCATATTGCATTTGTGTTTTGCCAAGCATATGAGTGGTTAGTATATCTTGTTAATTATCTTTTCAGTCATTTTTATCAATTGTAATAGGTATCTTAGTTTAGAGATGATTACTGTATTGTTTATATATATGATTTGGCTTATTGTTATTTTTTTGTATCTGAGGTCTTTGACTATTTGACTAACTATTCTTTTGGCCTTCTTACTAACTAGTAACTCTTTTATTCTATTATTTAGTCAAATTTCTAATAATCTTATAATTTTGTTTTTTGGCTCTTCTTTTATCTTACTTTGTCTAAAGGTAATTTCTCTTTTCTCCTCTTTAAGTCTAGTATTTATTATTATAAGTTTTGACTTGATCTATTTATTTTAATATCATTGGCTTTGAAAAACTCTTCTGCAATTTCTAGGATTCTTAACAGCTGCTCTTTGCTATTTGCAATTCATGTAGTGTTATTTGCATATGCTATTGCAGCTTGTTTGTAACTTATAATAGTATTGCTATATGTTCTTTCTATTATTTTCTGTTTTACTATATAGCCTAGTGATTTATCTTCTTGGATTCTTTCCAGTAATGGATTATAGAAAAGCCAACATATTAAAGGTAAGATTACCTCTTCTTGGTCTATTTATCTTCTGCTGTTATCTTTTCTGTTAGGCTGTATGCTATAATAACTTTTAGTTATCTTCTACAAAAAAAATTCATTATATATTTTCTTGTTTTTTGTGGTATTTTGATTCTCTTGAGTGCCATTCTAGTAGAACTAAGTCAATTGCTTTCTTCATATTTTGTAAGAGTATCTATACTTCTTTGTTCTTCTCTTGGCCTTCTTCTATTATCATGTTTAGGATATATATCAGCTGTTCTGTCAAGTTGCCTAGCAGATCTGCATAATTTGAGCCTTCTAATATTTTTTTTTTATAAATAATTTGTTCGGTTTTTTTGTTATTACTTTTATATCTACTTTTCTAAAAGTCTCTATTAATACAATTGGTCTAATGTTATTTAGGCTATAGCCCTACTTAACTTCTTTTGGAATTGGGTATATTTGTGCTATTTTCTACTTATTTGATATTTCTCCTTTTTTTAATATAAGGTTTGCAAAAATTCTAAAGATTTTTTGTGTCTTTTTATTTGCACGTTTGATTAGTACATAGCTTATATTAGATATTTCTAGGGCTGTGCCTGTTTTGAGTTCTCTTAGTACTTCATCTCATTCTTTTTTATCTATCTTTTCTTTTAGCTTGTTGTACATAACTTATTAATCCAATCTCTTAGTTTGTATATTTCTTTTTATTCTCATAATATTTTTTTTAACTTGTTTTTTCTTTTCTAAATTGGTTCTTGTAATGTTTTTTCAAATCTTCTTTAACTGCATTTGGTTCCATTATTAGTTCTGCTTTTTTTTCATCTTGCATCATAAATCTGTCAAGAACCATCTTCTTGTATAGCCTATTTAGTAGGCTTATAATCATTTGCCTTTGATCTGTTTTGATCATTTTGAATCTTCTGTTTGTGTTTTCTTCTATCTGTTTTTTTTGAAGTTGCTTCTATTCTTTTTTCTTCTTTTCTTTAAATATTCTTTGCCAGTCTTTAATATCTTCTTTTCAGGCTTCTGACTATTGACTGTGTAGTTTTGGTAGCACTACTCCCATTTTTACTCTAATTGCTTTAAGTTTGCTATTTACTTTTTCTTTTTCTTTTGGCTCTACCTCATGTTTCTTTTTTATTTTTGCTTTTTTAATTATTTGCTGCAGCTCAATAATGTGCTTGTGCTGCTGTTGTTTTTTTAACTTTGTCTTCTGTTTATTTTTGTGTTAAAAATCTTCATTTTCAGAATGTGTTTGTTTGCTGCTTC